AGCTTGTTTTTTCAAGAGGCCGATTATTACGGCGATTTTACGACTAGGTTATTGTTTTGCATGAAGCAGGGCCCTCCCTTTCTGTTTATTGAACCTACTTGTCCTCTGGGCTATGAATAAAAAACTAAATCACCCAGGCACAAAATATGTTTGTCCCAAGTGCCACCTATTTGTCCACTCCTGCCATTACACAACCATAAGAAGCCCAGAAGAGTGTTGCACGAGACGTTGAGTACTCGATTTCTGAGACCAGTTCTCTGTAATCATCCACCTACTAATGAGGTTATTCTCAGCTGACAACGCGCAATTTGACGTGAATAGAACAACACTTTTTCTAAACAATGAGCTTTTCAGTACGTCAGCGAGTCCACGTCAACCGGAACACAAAGCGCCGCTACAATCCGATGTCAGGCTGAGTGACTTTTCTAAACAAGGCACAACAACTGCATTTCTTAGCAGATTCACTGCACCGGATGACTGATTGCTCACGCTGAAGCATTCAGATGCAACCCAGTGGAAACCAGCAGGTTAAGCGAGACCTCCAGTGTACTGAACAGGCTGATTGAACTCTGCTACACTGTCGCTACATGAGCCCAAGGAGGTAAAGAGGATTAACTGCAGACTAGCGGAAAGCAGAACATTAACTTCTGATGCAGAAAATCTAAATAAAACAAGCAAAGCCATCTCTCAACCATACTGTTGGGAAGAAATGCTTAGTAAATATCCACTGTAGAGGTGGATAATATGACGATAATGTCAAGACACGTGATATTGACGGAATACATAATATTGGTTTGTAATTTTTATTTTATTTTAAAAATCAAATCAAAATAAAATGAGGGGGAAAATGGTTAATTAAAAATATTTCATACGGTTGAGGTCATAAATCTAAATTTGCTTATTTGTAAGTCGCTTTGGATAAAAGCGTCTGCTATGTGAGTAAATGTAAATTTTCCAGCATCTTCTACATATTTGACTCCTTTGCAGCAGTGCCTATATGATGTTGAGATCCATCTTTCCACACTGAGGACAACTGAGGGACAACTGACAACTCGTACAGAACTAGTACAAAAGGTTCAAACGTTCGCTGATGTTCAAGAAAGCAACACGATACATTAAGAGTCAGTGTGATGTAAACTTTTGAACTGTGTAATCTGTTATCATTTGGTCTTTGGGAAAACAGGTAAATATCTTATGTAGCTTCTAAATGGAAAAAAAGAAAGATATTTGAACAAAATAATTTAAATATGTATATGTCTAGGGAAATAGACCAAACTAAATTTGTTTATAAAAAAAAAAATAAAAAAAAAAAACACAATCTCAGACCAGTACCAACAAGAACAACAACAATAACTGCATAAACGGGATCAAGTCCTGCGAACATCTCTAGCTGAGACCACCTATAAACTTGAGTGATGCAGCTGAGGTTGAGGAACAGTCAGTGTTTTCAGTAGGGGTAATTTTTCATTTAAAAGACTTCGGGTTTAAGCCATGTTTAAATCCAAACACAGATACAGAAATAGATTTCTTTAGGTCCTATTTAAGTTTGCCAAATTGTAGCTCAAATAAAGTTCACTCATTTTCATTTGGAATGGCTGTTAGAAGCCGCTTTAACACGAGGGGAACATTTCACACATGCAAAATACTTCTTTTCCTCATTTTTAAGCATGGTAAACATGCAAAGTATGAATTTCACAGTGAACTTGCTTCTGTACATGTGACAAATAACTTGGGAATAGATCACTCTGATGTTAAATATGACCTACCCAAACAATTAAAATGGTAATGTACGAGCAAGCTTTTATTTTTGTCATGGTATACACTTCGTTGTTCCATGATTTTTAAATAGCTACTGTCATGCTTTGTGCGTCAAGCTCGTTTTAGATATGCTAAAGGATTTATCACTTACAAAGAAGGTGCGCTGGAGCTGGAAGGACCTTCGACTGACTCCAGCTTTCTTTTCCTTTTTTTCCCTTTCTTTTCTGGCATGAAGTCACCATCACTTGCCTCCTGTTTAAGTCTGCCAAAAACAGAGATAGACAAAAAGGAGTGCTGAAAGATTAAGCAGAAAATGCTCATTAGGGGTTCATTACGTTTTGAAAAATCTAGAAGACAACCAATCACTGTCTAATGGCAAGAACATAATGAGCACAATTAGACAATATTGCTTAATTGGCGCTGATAATTATATAATTACAGCAATTAAATGCTAGAATAGTCATAGGATCGCAAGCTGTTATTGCCATGTAGCATGGCTTGATGAAAGGGGGAGGTGACAATCAAATAAATGAATTATATTTACCATAACAGTGACCTGTGCTACTTTATTCCGGATCTCGTTCTACAGAGAACTACTCAGTGTGCCTCATCATCTTAATACTTGACCTGGTCCCTGAAAAATCGGCCTCCCTCTGCCAATTACCAACAGGGTCTGAGTTACGCAAAGTCTGCTCTGATTGTGTCATTCTGTGATTAAAGAAACGCTCCATCACATACACAGCAGACAGCCAGTGTGCGAAAGCAAGTGTGAAAGAGCAACTTCTTTCTGTGATGCATGTCACCACCCACAACCCTCACCTCCTAAAAATAGAGTATTATCCTGTATAGTTATTTCTTCCACGCTGCAGAACGATGAAGAAATTAATTTCCTGAAAGACAGTTAATGTATCTAAGGGGGAAAAAATAGAAAGAAAGAAAGAAAAAAAAAAGTATGGAGACTGTCCACAACCATGGACGTCTAAATCACCAGAATTAATTTGCATCAAGCTCAAGGGCAGAAAGCGTGACTGCATTTTAATCAGGAACGGATTCTAAGCGCGCATGCTGTGGATTAGGCCTGGAGCAAGACGCGACTAGTTCAGCACGAAAAAAAAAATGAGTGGGGGATAAAATGAAATGCCACTCATACACAACACAAAAATATAAACAGCGAGTTAAAAAAAATCCATTACCTTTTATCATCAGCTATTTCAAAGTCTGTACGCTCCTTTTTAGGACTCTTGACCTGAAATGGATCGAAGGGAAGGACAGACAATTAAAAAAAAACATGCAACAAGCAAAAACTATCAGAGATATGATGACGAAATTAAATTGCTTGAAAAAAACAAGCCCGGCGGACATTCTTCGACTTTAGGGCTTTAGTTCTGTTTAATAGAGGAAACTCAACAGACGGTTCCGCACTCGCTCACACTTAGCATAACCAAACCACCTACATGCATGTTTTTGTGAGGTAGGAGGACCCCGGAGAACCCAGAGTAAGCCCACATGGACAACACCTGAATAGACAGGAACCCGAATCAAACCTGCGACCCTGGATCTGTGAGGTGGTAAAGCTGGTGGCTACAACAGTTAAATTTAAGCTGGATTGTAGCGTAGTTTGTATGGCCTCTATGTTTAAGCTTTGGAGCTACAAATAAAATGTAAAAACAGCTGCAAGTAACATGTGTTAATCTTGAGGCCAAAACTTTACACACGGATTAAGGACAGATTTATTTCTTTATTTCAGATAAGTCAGAATTCCAGCTGATCAAAAGTTTACATATAATAACTTTGTCCATTCAGAAGCTTCAAATGCCATTACATCAATTTCTGGAAACTTCCAGGCTGTTTATACAAAGTTCAAAAACTGTACTGGCGTTTAACTCAAAACACCATCGTCCCAACTCTGAAGCATGGGGGTGGCAGCATCATGTTATGGAGAGGTTTTGCTGAAACGGATCACAAAATAGATGGCATCACAAAGAAGGATTATCTAAAAATACTGAAACAAAACCTCAAGACAGCAGACTGGATATCTAACATCTAGATTGCAAATCATGGTAACAAAATGGTTTAAAGACCATTAGAGTGGCCATCACAAATCCCTGACCTGAACTGCAGAGAACATTTGTGGACTACACTGAAAAAGCATGTCCATGCTAGAAACATAACCTGACACCAGTTCTGTCAGGAGGAACGGGCAAAAAATAACAGCGGCATATTGTGAGAAGCTTGTGGAAAGCTTCAAGAAGATTCTAGTTATATGATTAAAAGCCAAATACTAGCAAAGTCTATGTAAACTTTCAGCCCACTGAAAATCTGATACAGTAAATGAATGCTGAAAAAAAATATTATCTAGATATTATTTTTGAAATGACCGCTTATAGAAAAAAAGTAGATCCCCCAACTGATATAACACAGGAAATGTATAGTAATGTGGAGTGAAAAATCAAGTTTGAATGTCTTTAGTGTAGATGTCTAAGCTTTGGGCTTCAACTGTAACCCCAGTCTGGGAACCCAAGATGCAAACATCCACGATAAATAAAACTATTCAGGATTTCTGTTCACGAGAAGTGCGCTGGTTTACAGTACACAGTGAGCACATTAACACGTGGCATGTTTTCCTTGAACATTTTATATGTAATATGTGGGAAAAGGCAGAATTTGGTCACATGCTGCAGCCACGAACCATTTTAGTTTGTCATAGTGGAAGTTTTTCAGAAAAGCACAGACTGACAACAAGCACTTTTTATCCTATAAGGTCACAAGTCAGGAGACAAAAGTGAATAACAAAACATGGAAGACAGGATTTGGGAGAAGCAAAAAAAAAAAAAAAATCTTCAAAAGTCTTTTGTGAGCAAACATAAGGAGATTTATGAACATCTGGGTCTCCAAAGTTTGGTCCTGAGCTTGGGTTACTGTCTGTATGGAGTTTCTGTACATGTTCTCTCCATACACACCTGGGTTTCCTCTAGGGTCTCCGGTTTCCTTCCAGCTCCCAAACACATTACGTTCCTGAACTAGCTATACTAAAATGGCGCTCAGGGTGCCCTGAAATGGACAAACATCCCATCCTTGAATCCAGTGTTCCTGGAACAGGCTCTGGATCCACGCAACCCCGACTAGGATAAAGCAGTGACTGCAGATGCACGAGAGACTTAATGATATATTCCAATGGAGCAATGTGACTAAAAAGAACACTTTGGCTAGTTTTGGGACATTGACTTGTACTCAATGCTTGAATTGTGGTAGATCAGTGGTTGAGATGTTGGACTATTGATCAAAAGGTCGTAAGTTCAAATCCCAGCACTGCCAAGCTGCCACTGCTGGGCCCTTGAGCAAGGCCCTTAACCCTCAAATGCTCAGTCGTAAAAATTAGAGAAATATAAGTCGCTCTGAATAAGTGCATCTGCCAAATGCCTTAAATGTAATGTATTGTAAATGTAATTTAATTCAATGCTTCAGATTTGAAAGAAATGAGCATTTGCACCAACTGCACTAGCATATTTGTTTCCGTTTTATTACGAGAGAAGGAAAATGATTTCTTCCAAATGCAGTCAGTTACAGAAAGCGACGGGGTAGCATTGCAATGAGTTTAATTTTACAGAAATGGAAGGACACACACCTTTGCCCACTGGATTGAAGACTGACTTTTTTTAAATTAGAAAAAAAAAAAACTAATTAAATCAGGGGCCCTACCAAGACTTTTCATAAATAGCAAGACACTTTTTTTGGACTATATAACTAGGGATATTAAGTTTCCTGCTGCTCTTTAATCAAGTAATAACTGACTACATGATTATTCTTTCTTACTCCTGCTTGCTTTTGGTTTCATTTTTCTTTCTTTTTGGCAAAGCTACATTTTTTTCCCCTATGAAAATTGGACACAACTTTATCAATGTCCACTGTAATGTTTAAGCATGTAAAAAAACAAAAAAAAACAAAAAAAAAACAACAATTTAAAGCATCTCTGCAAGTAGGAAATATATTTGTGTGTGTAGTTTATCAATGAAATGCGCTATCTGCAACTGTAAATGTAATATGGAAGGGTCATAAGATGAACAACAAAAAAAAGAATATTTTTATATCAGTCAGCGTACAGAACTCTTTCCATGGCTTGTGCACAATGTGATAGATCAAACTGAGATTACTGGCTGCAGGCTTTCTCAGCTTCACTGCTCCAAAAACACCTGAGCAACCATATGGAGGGCTTGATTATTAGCTCATGAGCTGGATCAAGTGTTTGGAGGAGCAAAAAGATCAAACTCTTGAGGGCAGTGCTCCTTCAAGTTGGCAGTCTGCTCTACTTTATCTACACATCTCTCATTATATATACACACACATTTATATTATATATATATATATATATATATATATATATATATATATATATATATATGAGAGAGAGAGAGAGAACTCCATTAATATTGGTACCCTTGGTAATTGAGTGCAAAGAAGGCTGTGAAAAATTATTGTTTAACCTTTAGTTTAAAAAAAAAAATAAATCACAAAAATACTCTGTTCTCATGGATATCAAACAATGAACAGCAATTATTTGCACCCCTATGAATCCATCCAGCCATCTTCTACCGCTTACTCCTTTTCAGGGTCACGCGGGGAACCTGGAGTCCATCCCAGGGAGCATCGGGCACAAGGCGAGTACACCCTGGCCAGGGTGCCAGTCCATCGTAGGGCACAATCACATACAGATCACACACCCATTCATACACTATGGACACTTTAGACATGCCAATCAGCCTAACGTGCATGTCTTTGGACTGGGGGATGAAACCGGAGGAGGAAACCCCCACAGCACGGGGAGAACATGTAAACTCCGCACACACACATGGCCCTGGCGGAAATCGAACCCCGGACCCTGGAGGTGTGAAGTGAACGTGCTAACCAGTAAGCCACCGTGCGCCCAACCCTATGAATTCACATGAAAAAATATATACTTGCAATATATTCCCATTGATATTTTATATTTTTTAGTACACCTGGGTGACTAGGAACAGGAAATTCTTCAACCATGACTTCCTGTTTCACAGGGGATATAAGTATGAGGTAACACATGGGTCAAATTCCCTTAGTCATTCATAACAGTGGGTTAAACCAAGGAATGTGATGTGATGTGTGGCAAAAGGATGTTCAGCTTCACAAAATGGGAAGTGGCTATAAGAATATAGCACAAGCATTGAAAATGCCCATTTCCATCATCAGCAGTAATTAAGACGTTCCAGTCAACTGGAAAAGTTGTGAATCAACCCGGAAGATGACACACACACACACCGGCCACTATATTGGAACATCATAATAAAGGGGTGGATGCCCCCCTTTGCGCTCAGAACAGCCTCAATTCTTTGTAGCACAGATGCTGGAAACATTGCTTTGAGATTCACATATTTGATACTAGAGACCACTAAAGTTCATTTAACTCATTATCGTGAAACAGTTTGAGTATTGCATTGTAACATGGTGCTTCATCTTGCTGGATGTAGCCATTAAAGATGGGAAAATTGTGGCCATGCAGGGATGATCAGCAACAATACTCAGATAGGTAGTAGCATTGCAACAATGCTATATTGGTAATAACAGGCTAAATGTGTACCAGGAAAACATTCCCCACACCATTATACCACCACTCTGAACTATTCACACAAAGCATCTTGGGTCCATGGTTCATGCTGTTACTGCCAAATTCTAACTTCTACAGTGGTGTGAAAAAGTGTTTGCCCCCTTCCTCATTTCCTGTTCCTTTGCATGTTTGTCACACTTAAGTGTTTCGGAACATCAAACCAATTTAAACAATAGTCAAGGACAACACAAGTAAACACAAAATGCAATTTGTAAATGAAGGTGTTTATTATTAAAGGTGAAAAAAATCCAAACCATCATGGCCCTGTGTGAAAAGTAATTTGCCCCCCTTGTTAAAACATACTATAACTGTGTTTGTCCACACCTGAGTTCAATTTCTCTAGCCACACCCAGGCCTGATTATTGCCACACCTGTTCACAATCAAGGCATCACTTAAATAGGAGCTGCTTGACACAGTAAGGTCCACCAGAAGATCCTTAAAAGCTACACATCATGCCGAGACCCAAAGAAATTCAGGAACAATTGAGAAAGAAAGTAATTGGGATCTATCAGTCTGGAAGGGTTATAAAGCCATTTCCAAAGCTTTGGGAATCCAGCGAACCACAGTGAGAGCCATTATCCACAAATGGCGAAGACATGGAACAGTGGTGAACCTTCCCAGGAGTGGCCGGCCGCCCAAAATTACCCCAAGAGCGCAGCGACGATTCATCCAAGAGGTCACAAAAGACCCCACAACAACGTCCAAAGAACTGCAGGCCTCATTTGCCTCAGTTAAGGTCAGCGTTCATGCCTCCACCATCAGGAAAAGACTGGGCAAAAATGGCCTGCATGGCAGAGTTCAAAGGAGAAAACCACTGCTGAGCAAAAGAACATCAAAGCTCGTCTCAATTTCTCCACAACACATCTTGATGATCCCCAAGACTTTTGGGACAACATTCTGTGGACCGATGAGACAAAAGTGGAACTCTTTGGAAGGTGTGTGTCCAAGTATATCTGGCGTAGAAGGAACACTGCATTTCATAAAAAGAACATTATACCAACAGTAAAATATGGTGGTGGTAGTGTGATGGTCTGGGGCTGGTTTGCTGCTTCAGGACCTGGAAGACTTGCCGTGATAAAAGGAACTATGAATTATGCTGTCTACCAAGAGATCCTGAAGGGAGAATGTCCGACCATCTGTTCGTGTACTCAAGCGAAACGAACTTGGGTTCTGCAGCAGGACAATGATCCTAAACACACCAGCAAGTCCACCACCGAATGGCTGAAGAAAAACAAAATGAAGACTTTGGAGTGGCCTAGCCAAAGTCCTGACCTGAATCCTATTGAGATGTTGTGGTATGACCTTAAAAAGGCCGTTCATGCTCGAAAACCCTCTAATGTAACTGAATTAGGACAATTCTGCAAAGATGAGTGGGCCAAAATTCCTCCAGGATGCTGTAAAAGCCTCATTGCACGTTATCGCAAACGCTTGGTTGCAGTTGTTGCTGCTAAGGGTGGCCCAACCAGTTATTAGGTTTAGGGGGCAATCACTTTTTCACACAGGGCCATGATGGTTTGGATTTTTTTTCACCTTTAATAATAAACACCTTCATTTACAAATTGCATTTTGTGTTTACTTGTGTTGTCCTTGACTATTGTTTAAATTGGTTTGATGTTCCGAAACACTTAAGTGTGACAAACATGCAAAGGAACAGGAAATGAGGAAGGGGGCAAACACTTTTTCACACCACTGTAAATTGTAGCAAAAAATTTCAGACCAGGCTAAGTCTTTTTGTTGATCTTCAGCTGTCCAGTTTTGGTGAGCCTGAGTCCACTGTAGCTTCAGATTCCTGTTACTGGGTGAGCAAATGAACCCATTGTGGTCTTCCGCTATTTTAACCCACTTGCATCAAGTTTCCATGTGCTGTGCTTTGTGAGACACCACGGTTTCACCATTCTCCTCTGATCTCTCTCCAAAACAAGGCATTTCCACATGCAGAACTGCTACTCACTGACTGTATTGTGTTGTCCACACCATTCTGGGTCAATTGTAGAGACAGTGTGCGTGAAAGTCCCAAGATTTCAGCAACCGCGACCCTGCTGGCGTGACTCAAGCAGGTTATTTTCCATTTTCCATGTTCATTACACCTCACACAATAAAAATATAAATGTTTTTTTTTACCTAAATGCTGCCCGGGCGTACAGGTGTTCTTAATTAAATGGCCAGTAAGTGTATGCTTCTAGTAATGTGCGTTCTAAAATTTTGTGCTCCTGTTCTCACTTTCATTTTGAGATAATGAGAGCATTCTATGGAAAAGTTGTTCTGCTTATAACTATAATTAGAAATACAACAAAACCAATTAAGAGTGATAATTTATTATAACAGTTTCTATTATTATTTATAGATGATTGACAGCTCTAGATCTATGATGCGAGAAACTTCCCTAGCTGTAGGCAGTTTAGTTAATGATGGTAGTAAATCAGTGTCACTTGGATGACAAATGTGTATATTATATTCAAAAGTGATTTAGGTCAAACATATTGTATGAACGTTTGTATAAATCTTTTCTTGGAAGGCTACTCTAATATCAGTAATAAATGAATGAATGAATGTATGAATGAATGAATGAATGAATGAATGAATGAATAACGAACATGTTGTTGTACAGCTGGGGCAAAGAGGCCATCGGAAACTTCCCACAATTTTCCTGGTGGGTCATTCCATTTTCCTCTCATG